TCTGAATAACTTTCGTACGCACACTTTCCCTTGAAAATGCTTTCTTAGAGCGAAATTTGGTTCAAGGTGTTGTGAAAATATTTTCACTTAGCTAAAAACTAGAGAAATTTTTTAGTTTTGAATTGTTTTGTTAAATTTTCCGAGTTTGTAGAGGACACTTCAAAGTATATGTTCTGAAGTTTTTCCGGCTTACTGACATTGTCTGGCTGGGAAAAAAATTAATTACTTAACAAAATATTGTTAAATTTTTGAGCACGGGACTGTTATAAAAAAATTCTAATGAATGAATTGGATTCTAAAACTCTTAAGCTAGCCAGTCTTGTAGCTCGCGAAATTCTCTGTCAGGTGAGGTATAGCTTAAATTCTTTTGTTGCGTCCTTATTTTGCAAATGGGACTGTAAGCTAGTAGAGGAGACTAAATTAACCTTAATTAGTGCTAATTAGTCAATAAGAGAAAGGAAAGAACAAAAATGTTTACATATTTTCTCGTAGTAAATATTCTCCACAAATGTCGATCTAGACAAAATTCAAGTTTTTATGATGAATGGCGAATGGACAGGAATTCTTTTAAAAATAGTCCCTTGTTCAAAAATTTTATTATATAAAAACAGTACTTTTTAAAGTAATTAATGTTTTCCTCAGCCAAATAATGCCAGTAAGCCAAGAAAACTTCAGAACATATACTACGAAGTATCCTCCACAAATCGGGAACGTTGGGCGAAAATCCAAAGGGGGGCCGCTCCCTTAATGCAGCCTTACAATTACGCGTTTTAGCAGTACCCTTGTTTATTTTCTGATTTCCGTTCCTCTTGGAAATTGAAACTCCAGTAAGATTTATCAAGAGAAAAGAAAGAGAAAAGATTAAGGAATAAAGCAGGATTGCGTCAGCATGTGTCAAGTAAAATAAATATTAACGAGAGAAAATTCACACGAAATTAGAATCTTTCATCAATCTCCAAATAATGAGTCAGTTTGCCTCATTATCTGAAGACTGATAAAAAAAAAGCAGAAAAAAGATAGATATTATATGAAGATTGATAAAAGACTCTAATTTTAATATAAAGCATGTCCCAAGTTATTATTAAGGATATTTATATCTCGGACCTCGGGAAGTTACAACTGTAACATTTAACAATAGCAAAATAGACAGGAAGAAGCCATTCAGATACTACATTAGGGATTTTTTCCTAACTTCCATCTAATGGTCATATTGGTTATCCAACCACATGGACAAACCTCTTTATCCGCATAGCATTCTCCTCAGATTAGTTCTTCAAACAGTTTCTGCTTGAATTTCTCAATTCATCCGGAATAAACTTTTAAAAAAGGGAAACTTTGATCGTCAACAAACGTGGATATTTCCGGCATGCCTACTGTTCCCTGAATTGATCAGATGACATCCGAACGGTCCTACACTAATTATGAGTGCAATTGAGCCTTTAATACAACATAAGAAAAGTCCACGTACGTTACCATATAAATCATATTCTATCATTATGGGCAAGACTGGAGTGGGAAAAACAATTTTGTTAAATTCACTTTGTGGAACATCCCATAAAACGGACCAAGCAGTCGGAAGTGTTACTCAAAATCTTTTTCGTAATGATGTTAATTGTGGTGGATATCCATTTTCTTTGATCGATACACCTGGAACAGATAGTCAAACTGAAGCATACAAACATGCATACTTGTTAAAAGAAGCATTAACATCATGCAACATCAATACAATTTTTATTGTTATCAGCTTTGATAATCGGTTTGAAAGAATGTTCGACACGTACCTGGAAATAGAACAATATGTTTGCAAAAATGATGCTAAAATTGTTGTGATGGTTTCTCATTGGGACATGTCAAATAATCCGACGAGGCATTTTCGCGAAATTTGCAATTTATTTGACGATTACTGTTCAAATATAATTTGTTATTTTCAAAGAAGTGCGAGTAGTCAAGTCGCAAATTTAATGTACGATTGTATATCCAATATGGACGGAACGAAATTAGAAATATTAGACGACGATTTTTTTCTCAAATTTAACATATGCGGAATAAAAGGTCAAATGAAGAAAGCCTTTGAAGAGTACAAAAGAAAAGCCGATTTGCTTCATAAAGAATGTGCAGACATTATTCCTGCTGTGCCTCTTTCAGAACGAGATGATGTTTTACCTATGCTAATTGTCGAATTCAAAAATCAACTGGATTTATTATTAGAAGAGCTTACAAA